GCAGGTTGCTAACATTAAAGAGTGACTTACTAAGCTGGGGATCTTGACTCTACCCTACTATCCAATCTAATTTACCGTTTCAACAGTCATGGCAGCCCTCCATTCAGACAAAGCAGCCCCTCACCATAACCCAGCCACACCATGCCCATTCCCACTTTTGTTTGTGCCTTGCCCACCTAAAATCCCCGGATTTTGCTCTGTCTGAGAAGTCCTGTGAATCTCTCAAAAGCCAGTTCAAGTTCATCTTTCTTCATGAAATCTTCCCTGAGTACTCCAGTCCCGCTGGTCCTACTCCTTTTTCTTAAGTTTTGTCACCATTTTTTTTTCAGGGCAATAGTGAGGCATTCCCCTCCCCCCGAGAACCTAAAAATATGGTAAACAATTTTTTACTCCCCATCCTAGGCAATTTGGTTCAGTGGATAGAGCGTCAGCCTGTGGACTGAAGGGTCCCTGGTTCGATTCCGGTCAAGGGCACATGCCTGGGTTGCAGGCCCAGTCCCCAGTGTGGGGCATGCAGCAGGCAGCCAATCAATGATTCTCTCTCTTCATTGATGTTTCTCTCTCTCTCTCCCTATCCCATCCTCTCTGAAGTCAATAAAAATATATTAATAATAATAATAATAATAAGTGGCACCCCAAGAGAGAAATACTAAGGTTAACACATCATGGAGCAGAGTCGAGATGTATAAGGACCAAATGGCTTCCTGGTCCATCAGACTTGAGTAAAACCTAATGGGACGTATTAACTGCTAAGGAGAAACCTGTCGTAGACTAGAGAGATGTAGGGGGTGTAGGGTGGAGTGAGGTGGGAAGGTAGCAGCGTTCAGTTCAATAGGGATGGATCAGCAAGATATTGGAGAGTGAGATGGGACTGGGAAGTAGAGGGACTGAAGTCATCTATGTGAGCAGAAAAGAGTGATTGGGGGGAGGGGGAGGAAAAAAGTGCTTGTGTGTGGAGATGGCCTCTGAGGCCGCAGATGTGGAGAGTCAGGCCCACTAGCCAGGCTGTGCCTGTTGGGGAGACAGATGGACCCTGCTCAGTCCTTTCCATTAAACACCGGATGCAGCTCATTCCTTTTGTTCTAATTCTGTTCTCACCGGTGGCCTTCTGATTGAGCTTTAGTGGGCCATGGTGGCCTACCTCTACAGAATGTATTTCCCTGATCATGTAGAGACAGATGCTGTCTGTGGAACAGATGTAGCTCTCATTGTCAGGTCATAATCTGGCATTCTGATTTTTTTTTTATTAATCCTGCGGTATTGATAAGGTCAGACTTCCCCTGTAGGAAGAAGTGAGTTCTCTCTTGGTGAGGACAGAGTCTGATTTCTAAGCTAGGAGGCTGAGGATCAGTTGGCCAAGGCCTCTGGGAAGAAAGTACCTGGCCATTGCCCAGACAGTACCCTCTACATCTCCAGGTGGCTTATGGCCCTTCGCTTTTTTGGAATTTCTTTCAACTCCTGTCCTG